AAAAAAAAAAAAAAAAAATCAGAAATCTCAAAAAAAATCTATTAAAAGTAGGTATTTGGGGATTATAAAATCATTTAAACACAATAATAGATCTGTGAGTAGCCAGTTTCCCTGTAAGTGGACATGGGCCAAACTGGCAGTATGGCTGACCAGAGGTAGGTGGGCCTGGCGGCATGTTGGCATCTCCGGAGGCCTTGAGTTGCTTGCCTGAAAGCTCCCAGCTCCGAAGGGATAGGAGGAGAAGCTGTGGATTACTTTCCCTGGAAAAGAACTCTTCCCAAATCTGCTGCTGCCCATAAACCCCACCTGATTGCACTGAGTGCCTGGGGAAGAAGAAACTGCTAAAGTAGGTTCAGAGCTTGTAAAAGCTAAGGAAAGGGCACTCGCATATCAGAACCTAGGTGGAGGGAAGAGTTCAAAAGATTTAGAGACCAGAATCGGGTGAGAATAGGAACAGAGAGTCTAAAAGGAGCCATGCTGAGTTCTAAAAGCACCGCATTTAAATGATGAAGTTAGAGGCGCTTAAGGAGGGAGAGGAGGCCCGGGTTTCTAAAGGAAGCAGCCAGAAGGCTGGCTCAGCTTTGCAGGGAGTTTTCTGATGAGCAGAGAAGGAAACATGTCTGAGGAAGTACAGAAAGACAAACAAAAAAGAGCCTGCCAAGAAAATGAACGGCCAGCGTGTGCTTAACCATGCAGAAAACGGTAACACAACAAGAGGGATCTTGTCAGGGACTGGGCTGGCTGCTGCTTCAAGGTGCGTCGGCACAGTGAGCGTCCACACGTGCCCAGCTGCTGTCCAGCGTCACCACGTCCCCTCCCCAGCAGGACAGAGGCTCTCCCCAGGAACCAGACAGAGCAACATGACAAAGGAAAGCATGGAGCAAGCGGTCAAAACAGCAAAAGAACGCCTGGCAGCTTGCAGCAGCTCAAGGCAGGCCCTTGAGACAGTGACCCAGGCTGCAGAAGGACCCATAGCGTGACCACAAGCCCACTGGAAGTGGCCGGGCAAGGCCGCACATCTACACAAAGCGCCATTTCCCTCAGTTTCCAAGAGCAGGTGATGATGATGTCCTAGCATTCTGTACAGAGGCACTCTGTCACTCTGTGGCCAGGCTTCAGCTTAGTAAACGTGTAGCTCGCGAATTTAGAGGGGAAAAAAGATGGTGAGGACTCAGTTAACATAGGGGCACTTCAAACCCCAAGTCCTGCTAGCCTCATCGCCTTTGCTTTTATTCTTTATGGTGCCCAGAATTGAGCCCAGGCCCTCAAGCATGCTAAGCACGCACTCTACTGGAGCTACACCCCTGGCCTCATGACCTTGGTATATAAGAGACAAATGGGTTTGTCATAGACATAAACTCACAGCATTTTAGGGCCAGAAGCAGCTTTAATATAATTTGTTTCCCTCATTTTGCACCTAACAAGCATGGATTTGTAGACCTTCAAGGAGAGCCCTGGGACTATATGGGCCCCTGCCAGAACTCCAGCCTTCCCATCAGAGTCCCACCAAACATACAGCTTTTCAGGAAGACACCTAACAAATGTTGTGATTATAGCTGGATGACCTTAGAAATACAGGTTTCTGTAACTGCATGAACAGCCAAAATCCAGTGTTAATTTATTACCTCAACAAAGGGGCTGTCTAGCTCTCTCCTCTCAGTATTTGAGAAATGATTTACAGATAGAAACAGAATGCCTGTTCAAAATGACACAAAAACCAGGTGTGGTGGCGCTCGCCTGTAATCCCAGCGCTGGGGAGGCTGGGGCAGGAGGAGGATCGCTGTGAGTTCGAGACCAACCTGGACTACATAGTGAGTTCCAGGTCAGTCTCAACTACATAGTGAGACCCTGTCTCAAAAAAAAAGACACAAAAATGAGAGGGAGACTTGGGACATTGGATGAGAGAATCCAGATTTCCTTAGTCAGAACAAATGCAAAACCTATAGCACGAAAGGTAAAGGGGGACAAATAAGAAAGGATTTGGTGTCACAAAATATGAGAAAGACTTAGCTCTTAGCAGCCCTTGTGAAAAGGGTTTAGGGATTTCACTATAAGCAAACCACAAACTAACAGAGTAACAAGCCTGCCAAGAAAGATAATGTGGCCATACCATGTGGTAGGCAAGACAGCAGTCCCCAAAGGCCACCTGAATGGCCTTCCTGGGAGCTCTGAACGTTACCTTCGGTAGCAGAAAGGACTTCAGAGATGGGACTAAGTTAAGGATCTTGACTTGAGGAGATCATCCAAGGTTACCCACCAGTGCTCAGTGCCCTCCTCGGGACCCTTAGAAGTGAAAGAGGGAGGCAGGAGGGTCAGGATGAGGACAGGTGATGTGACAATGGGAACACAGGTGGGAGCAGTGTGGGGCCACTAGCCAAAGACCATGGGCAGCCCCTGGCAGCTGGAAAAGGCCAGGAAATGGGTTCCTCTCTAGAATCTCCAGAAGGAGTGCTTCCTTAATGACTCATTTTAGACTTCTGACTTTCTTTTCTGACCTTCTGGGTCAGAGAGTAAAGTTGTGCAGTTTTAAGCCACTAAATTTGTGGTGATCGCTCTAGCAGCAATAGGGCAGGAACACGGGCTGCGTTCATGATGGTTGGAGGGTCTCACCCAGCAAAGGTGGTACCATGCCCTGTGAGGCCACATCTGTTTTGTTGTTTTTTGTTTTTGTTTTTTGGTACCAGGGGAATTGAACTCAGGTCCTTGTGCTTGCGAGGCAGGCGGCAGAACCACTGAGCCAAATCCCCGGCCCACCACATCTGAATGTTAGGTTCTGTTCTGGTTAGGGGATTAGGAAGCGTGTTGACAAAGTCACTTACACATCGGTTGTTGAAGAACCTCAGAGTCATAACAAACTAACATGGAGATGTAACAGTTATCTTCAAATGTTTGAAGGATTAAGCCAATGAAAGGTTAGAATCCATAATTCCAGAGGGAAAATTCAGAACCAATGAAGACATTCACAAGAGTCAGAGTTATCAAAGTAGAAGCTGTGCCTTGCTAGTAGGAATCTTCTTGTCCCTAGAAGCATTCAATCAGAGGCCTCCAGAGGGCCAAGGTTGGTCAAGAACTGCTCTAAGGACTTTTATTCTAAGATTTGAAGACCTGACAGCTCTGGAAAGACAAGGCACATTTCCACTGGAGTCCCAGATTTATCCTTGTGCTAGACTTGCTAGTGAAATCGCACAGGAAAATAAAAGCAGTAGCAAAAGTTGTTACTGTGGCTGCTCCTGGAACTCTCACTGCTGATTTTAAATTGACTTGAGAACTGTCATCTTGATGAGTAAGTAAAGTATCTACCTGGGCCAATGTCTCATCATTGGTGTACGTTAGAAGCCCCAAAGCCTGAAGCACAGAAGACCAGGCAGGCCAGGCCTACCCTTCAGCATTTCCCACCTGCTGCCCCTCAGGCTGTGCCGGGGTCCACTTCTGCCCCTCTCGAGAGTGGCCACACAGCTTCATTCTCAGGTCCTTAAACCCAAACGGTATCTCCTGTGAGTCAGGAGGCCACACATGCAGAGTCATGCAAGCAAAGTCCTCGGAGCGGTGGGGCTCCCCTCTGGTATCCAACTTGCACTCCTATGTGGTAGGCTTCCAGGGTAAGGACAGAAGAAAGATGCAGCTGATTCGACTGAGCTGAGTCTCTGAGAGAGCGCCTGACACCTGGCCCATGTGCCTCAGATTGGAAACCCGATTGCCCAGAGAGGCCACCTGGTCTACCCTGGCAGAGATGCTACCCTCGTCTCTCCAAGTGGTTTTCTCTGAAAGTCTCAGAACTGCTGCTGCTTGACTTGCAAGAGAAAAAGCAAAGCGCACTGGAAGGAAGCTTCTCTGAGGCCAGCCTTTGCTTCCCGGGCTCTGTCCCCTGCTCTGAGCGTCAGGCCACTGGTTTATGGCCTATGGGCACACGCAAGGCACATGAGCACCAGGCTCCACTGCCGGTGCCGGCCCGAGAGGAAGGCAGAGATGCTTGTGTCAGTTGATTAAAACCTTCTCAGGCAACGTGTCTGGACAAGCACCCGCTCTCTCACCCCCCAAAGTGACTGTGCCCGTAGCTACGTGTAGACGTAAGGCTGACTGGCTTTGTGCATCGATCCGAGTCGCTGTCCCTCCACCCATCGTCTCTCACGCAGTGGCTTGTATATATTTTAATACCTGTGCATTAGCTTTCTGGCTTTAACTCAATTTGTTTAAGGCAAGAGGAAAAGAAACCGTGCCTAAAGACGGGGTGACCGTGCCTTTATAAAGGGACAAGGCCTTGTCACTCCGCACCTGTCACTTGCAAGAGTTGGACCCCAATGCTCCAACTTTGTGACTCTGTGACAGCAGCCCCACGAGGCAGCTGATGGGCAACAGCCTTCTAGGTCTCCACCAGCCTCCCCTGACGCTCACACAGCAACACCAAACTTAGGTGAAAGCTACACGTGTGCCCACCAGGTGCCCATTCACCTTGCCACTGCCCCACACCCTCCTGGGCTGAGCTCAGAAGCCGCCACTAAAGGTTGTACGGGACTGGGGACTTCCGCAAAGGATGCGTATTTGCCAGCTGTGCCTGACCGTAGTCGCTGAATGTGTCCATCCGAGTGGATCTAAGTCAGATTCCTTGATACAGCTCAGTTTTTCATCTGCAAAATAGGAATGGTAATGGTTCCTCATCCACTAAGTGATTATGAGGATTTAGGGGCTTAATTCATGTAAGGTACATACTTAAAGAGGCCTGCGAGGCTGGCCCTTAGTACGCTTAGCTTCTTTTTATCATCACTGAATGAGTACATATAAGTCAAACAGTTAGAAATGTGTGAATAATTTACCGCTAGATTTGATTACTGAAATAACGGAAGGGAAGAACCAGGGCTGAAACGTAACGTGCACATTCTCAGTGCTTTATGTTCGTATTTTGCAGTGTGAAAATTCCTTTTTATTTCCACCCCACCCCCACCCCAGGACTATACTTTGTTATATGAAGAGGCAAAATATTTTCAACTTCAGCCCATGTTGTTGGAGATGGAAAGATGGAAGCAGGACAGAGAAATGGGTCGCTTTTCACGGCCCTGTGAGTGCCTCGTGGTACGTGTGGCCCCGGACCTTGGAGAAAGGATCACACTCAGTGGTGACAAGTCCTTGATAGAAGAAGTGTTTCCAGAGATCGGCGATGTGATGTGCAACTCTGTCAACGCAGGCTGGAATCACGACTCGACGCACGTCATCAGGTTTCCCCTGAATGGCTACTGTCACCTCAACTCAGTCCAGGTACAGCATCGTATATCGCGCAGGCCTCAGACGTCACTCTTAGCGCTGAACCTTGCCCTTCCTCCAGGGAACTGAGAAATTGTCATGTGGGAACATTCCTGTTGGATCAGTAATTTATCACCCATCTTTTTATTTATTTATTATTTATTTACTTACTTATTTGTGGTACCTTCACTTGAACTTGGGACCCTGAGCTTGCAAGGCAGGCGGTGGAACCACTGAGCTAAATCCCCAGCCCTTATCACCTGTCTTTTAGACATTCCTAAAGTCTTTCCTGAGCATCTAGTATGTGCCAGGTACTGGTCTGAACATGGGAGATACAGAACAGAACAAATAGTACTTGGCTTGTGGGATTTGCATTCTGGGGTTGGAGTGAACATTAAGCAGCATAAATACTGCTGAGCTAGAAGTAAGGAGGAATCTGGGATGGGATGTCCCAGGCAGAAGGATTGGCAGGTTGTGAAGTCCCCAAAGCAGGGGCGTGCGTGGCACACTGAGACATACCAGGTCAGCCGTCAGAGCTGGAGGAAAGGGACTTGGGGAAAGTGAAAGCTAGGACACAGGCTGAGATGACCAGGGAAAATCTGGACAGCCTTGGAGAGAGAAGCAAGCACTCTAGAAGGGAAAGAGATTTTGAGCAACAGTGACCGGCTGTAACAGTATTTTAAAGCCAGTTCTCCAGCAGCAGGTGGAAGTAGTGAAGCAAAGGGACCGGTTTGCAAATGGGAGTCCAAGCAGTCACTGGGACAGGTCTGACTGTGAATATCTTGAATGTGTACCTAACAAGGTTTTCTGACCATGGCTGTGAGTCATTAGACAGAAGTCCAGGATGTCCAAGATTCTCAACAGAGAAACGGATGAGTGGCATTGACATTTTCTGAGACAGAAAAGTCTTTGGGAAAAGAGGACTCCAGGGTGGGATTCCGAAACTTGGTTTACCTGTGTGAGGGACTGTGTGCCTTAGAGGCTGGTGGGTGTTGCCAGCCTCATCTAAATGTGTAGGCCCTGGGCTCTCTGCACTCTCCCTGGCTGCAGCCTGTGTGTACACTGCTTCCTGTAGCACTGCTGACTCCCTGTCTTGCTGCAGGAAGACAGATGTACCTGGATCTTGACTGCAGATATCTCTGACATGAAACTCTTACAAGCCAATGGAGCGAGAGTTTGTTTTTCCCCTTCTCTTTAATTTGGATGGGTGCATGACTTGGTTCAATATTCAGTGACCAAAACCTCTCCAAGAGCTAAAGATTACAAATGTTCAATAGACCATCTGCCTCTGCAGGACTGTTCCACAATGAGGCATAATTTTTAAAATTTCTGAGTGGCTGGGCAGGGTGGTATTTGTCTATAATCCCAGCCCTCTGGGAGGTTAAGGCAGGAAAAGCACTAGTTTGAGCTGAGCCTGGGCAACTTAGTAAGACGCCGTCTCAAAATAAAAGAGAAAAAGGGCTGGGGATGTAGCTTGGTATAAAAAAACTACACTAAAACTTATGAACAGATACCTGAGAGCAAAACAGCAGAAAATTCTAGCAAATAAATGATCCCTACACAGGCGAGTCAGGAAGGCACACTTTCAAGGTTCCAGAGGGCAGCATTCATAGTCTCGCCTGTGTTGGTGGTGCCCCCTGCAGGCGTGGCGTGCTCCTGCACTGCCCTGAGCAGTGTTGTGAGGGGTTCCTGCAAAGCCCTGCCAGGTGCCCCACCCCCACCCTAGCCCCCAGGGAAGCAGAGACATTCACCAACCCATCAGAAGCCCTCAGCCCCACCCCTGGGCCAGGAAACACCTTTCATTGGTTCATGTGCTTGATGCATGTCCCAGATCAGATGTGGAACTGTTCATCTGGATACAGCCATGACCCACTCATTTCCTGTTCCACCCACCAACAAAGGACACCAGCCCATAGGCACACAGGGACGTTGAGATAAAGCATCTGACATCCAAAATGCCACCCAGTTATTTAAACATTCTCAAATGACTGCTAAACCCAAGAACTTTGCTATTGAGTTGGTGTTTAAAAAGCAGCAGTTTCATAAGCTGTTTGCATTACACGGAAATAAGCACTTGACCACCTCCACAGCAACATTACATCATGTTGAATATTGGTCATATTAGGCATACCAGAATCCCAGAGAGGAAGACCCTTAGGGGTTTCCTTATATTAGCAATTTGGTGGCCATAACATCACTCAAAGGATAACGACCCTCACGGCTTTTTCAGCTTTGTGTCTTCTCTCCTAGGCATAGTACAGGATCCTTCCCAAGCAAAGTAGGGTGGGGCTTGCTGACTGGTCGCATTCTTACCTCTGCTGGAGAATTCCCAGATGAGCAGCTCTTTGCCTTTTTCTTCACCCGCACCAATGAGTTGGAACTTGGGCATTGTTTCCTTCATCCTGGGTCTTGACTGCAGATCTCTCTGACATGAAACTCTTAGAAGTGAATGGAGGGAGAGTTTTTGTGTGTGCACTGTGAATTCACCTGCAGAAGCGGGGCTCTGCGCAGACGAGGTTTACATGGTTTTCCCAAGGACTTGAGGGTTTTCTTCATTGGCCACAACTTGAGGCTTTCACTTTTAGAAAACATAACCCCCTGCTCCCCAGTGTCATCTAGTAAGCTATTTTGCAAAATATTTTGCTTCCATATTGAAGCAGAAGACCAAAAAATAATAATTTTTGAAAAGCAGCAAGAGTTCACTTTATAACTGACTACATTATCAGAGTTATTTAGTAACATTTCATTTCCTTCCACAAAACATCTGAGAGCGCTGGGAACTGTTTTATGAACTTAAGAGTGTCAAACATGTAGTGACAAATGCAGGGATCTTCTGGCATTAGGAATTTGGTTTCAAAAATTAAAGAACAGATCATCTGGCTTGCGTTTTTTAAGGTTAAAGGATGTCTAATTTGGACCCATGCTCTAATACATAACCATTGCATTTATTCTCCCTCCTTGAATGCATGCAAAGCCATAAATCTACTTCAGATACAAACAAACTGGAAAACTTGTAGTAAAACTTGACTGCCTTAAGTAATCCATTCATTCTGCTGTCAAAATACATAAACCTTCCGAAGTGAAGTGTAGATACTAACTCAGTATTGGAAAACTTGCGAGTCCAAATGAGTCATCGGCTAAGTAAATTCAAACCCTATTCTCCTTCCATATTCTTTATCACCTCACAAGATATATTTTAATGGTAAATGAACTTTGTAATGTGAACTCTCATTTTTTTTGCAAAGAAGGCAGCATTGCAATATATGCAAAGCCACCCAGCCAGCCATTGGGATTTAAGGCTAAATAGGTCTGAGTTGGAGATCCAGTTCCATCACCCGCTAACCATGAGCCTCTATTTCCTCATGTGTACTGTGGGGCTTTTACCACCCGGTGTTGTAACTGGCATGTGGAAAGCAGATGTACAAAGGCATGCTGTAGGTATTAGAAACATGTGCTGTCTCCCTTCTGCCCTTCAATCCAGGGCCTTCCTTGGGGAGCAGACGTTCAAAGGCATAAATGGGTTGGATGAGGCGGAGCAGAGCTACACTGCTTTGGAATGACCCTTTGAGGGTATTCACCTGGCAGACGACTCATCTCATTCCTAACCAGCCACTTGTCTTGGCCCCTCGCAGGTCCTTGAGAGGTTGCAGCAAAGAGGATTTGAAATCGTGGGCTCCTGCGGGGGAGGAGTGGACTCGTCCCAGTTCAGTGAATACGTCCTTCGGCGGGGACTGAGGCGGACGCCCCGCGTACCCTCTGTCATCCGGATAAAACAAGAGCCTCTGGACTAAACAGACACACTTCTTATGCAAAAGAGGAAAACATACACAACAGACACCGCAATCAGAAAGGGGACATTTATGTGCAGCTGGGACAGCAAACCAAGTTCTGGACCTAAAAATCGAATAAAAGACACATTTATATCCAGTAGCGATCGCACCTGTATTCATATGGGAACAGTTGGAGTAGTGATATCCTCAAGGTGTAAAGAATATATAAATATATATGTGTGTGTGTGTGTGTGTGTGTGTGTGTGTGTCAAAAGGTAGGAAATG